AGTCAATGACCTCACAGTGAGGGGCGGGGCTTCATGGTCCACGGACTCAGGATCAGGGAGAGAAATGATCCCCAGTAAAAGACACAAGAAAGGAGGTTAAGCGTAGAATAAAATCAACAGCAGACAGAACAAAATGTCTTGTGTCAGGTTCTCACTTGCATTTAAAGGGATAGTCCACTCAAAAATGAAAATTCACTCATCATCTTCTGACCCCCCCCCCAGGCTAATTGAAGGGTTTGTGACTTTCGTTCATCCTCAAAATGCTTTTGGAGTCTCAAAGAAAAACGGCATTGAAGACAAATCCGAATCAACTGAAGTCATTAGTGACCACTCTTTCAAGCGTAAAAAGCAACAATTAAAAAACAAAAATTCCTCCATACTGCTCGTGCGGCGTTATCCAAGTGTCCGCAAGACCCGACTTTCAAATGTGACTCGAAGACATGTTTTCACCATGTTTTTAGCCTAAATTTCCAAAGTAGCCTCTTAGCTAGAAGCCCTGTTTATTTTCGAGGACAAAGTTGACCTCACTATGGTGGCCAACTAGGGTAAATAATGCTGCAACGGCCCTAAACATCTCCGATTGGAGAAATGCGCTGTAGTTTTGAATGTTAATATTCACTGACTGAAAAGCTTATTTACCCTCGTAATGTGTTAGTAACGTTAAAGTTAGTAACGTTATTGTGAATGTCAAGTGTTACCACTGTAAAGCCATACTTTCTGTGCATAAACTGGGGCAAAACTGAAGCAAATCCTGCCATAGGCTTATCTGGTTAATGATTTGTATCCACTTGAGGTGTGTGCTGTTAGTAAAAAGCTTGACTAGTTCAGAGAATATAGCCATTGTGCCCCCGTAAAGGGCTTACTGCAAATGGTTAAGTGTTACTTTAAAACCCTGTTGCTAATACTGTTAACTTACGAGTTGAAAGTATTTAGGCAAATTTTACTCTGAAACTGGGAGGATGAAATATGTTTTTTTTTGTGCAACAGAGCCATTTATAGGCTAAATGAGGGTTATCAGAAGTTTATCGTACTTAGTGATGTTCTATGCTAAGTGTTAGAAACTAGATTCAGTTCTCATTGATTATTGAATGTGGATGTGATGTTAAATGGATATGTGACCTGTCTACAGGTCAGATTATTTTGTGGGGTAAATGACGGATTTTGGGACTCATCCGGAGCCACGAGGGCATCCATTGAAAAGAAGAGATTCCAGTGAACTGGATGGTGAGCCATCCCATTTAGGAGAATCATCAACACTTACCACACTGAGGATTGCTGCTCTTCACTTCACGGCGCGGTAGGATGGACATTTAACAATGATTGGCCCGCAAAGATCGATCCACTGAACCGACACTTAAAAGACTTGACTCAGGGACATTAAAGTTTTTTTTATGCATGTGCTTTGTTATGTAATTTTATTATTTTGGGGAATTATTGTGTTTGGCAACATTGTAAATGTCTGAGCTTCCTTTATTGTGCTCAATATGTGTTCATTCAAATTCATTCTCACATCTGGTCTCATTTGAAGGAAGAGACTTCACCTCGCCAAAGTATATTTCAGCGGAAAGTAGTGTCTAAAACGCATAGCTTTATAAATTTAAATTTCGTAATAATCCAGTGCGACACACTTCAAAATCAGCGAGTCTTAAAACGTTCGAGAAATAATTCCAGCTCATCATTTATGATAGATTCCAGTATTTTGCATGCAATGCAAGTTAAACTGAACGGCTTATTTCCTGGCTCAGTACGGACCCCTTTCTTATAGATTGGTTTTATATTGCCCTGCTTCCAATCATTTGGTATTCCTCCAGTTTATAAAGACCGTCTGAAGATGGCCGAGAGCGGTTTAAAGATGATCTCGCTAACTTCCCTGAGCACTCTAGGATATAAGCCATCAGGACCTGCCGCCTTATCTGCCTTTAGTTTATGCAACTTGTCTAATACTTCATTATTCCTCACCTCAATTTCCGCTAAATAATCTAGAGGGTTGGACATGCCCTCTGGCCGAATAAAAACCTGCTCCGAGGTAAAATTCTCAACAAAGTAACTGTTTAAAGTATCCGCAATATCCTTGTTATCATATAGCAGCGATGCATATTTATTCTTTATGCACTGAACCTCCTCTTTGACTTTCCTTTTTCTGCTTCAGTACTGAAAGAAGCGCTTAGGGTTAGTTTTTGCCCCCTCTGCAATTTGCCTTTCATACAGTCTTCTAGCATTCCTCAGCTCCCTTTTGACCACAGCCTGCATTTTACAGTATTCAGCCTTAGTATTCTCATTGTTATCCTTTACATCTTATAAAGATTCCTCTTTTCCCTCAAACTCGTACGAATAGCAGTGGTCATCCACTGAGGGTTCTGCTTTTTCACCTTACTTTAGGACACCCTTGGAATGAATTTACTTTGTGAATCAAGTAAAACCCCCTTAAATCTTTCCCACATCTCATTTACAGACTCACAGTCCAGGAGTGTCTCCCATTTTATTATGCTTAAATATGAGCACATCCTTTCAAAGTTCGCTCGCCTAAAATTGAAAATTTTGGTTTTAGAAGACATCTTTTTAACTTCCCATGAAACATCAAAATTAACAGTAGAGTGATCACGAGTCCCAAGAGGCTCCAGTACCTCAAACATTGCTAATTCTATCAGGGTCATTACATTCAGCACTAAATCTAAAATTGCCTTCTCTCTTGTAGGTTTATTAACATACTGCACCAAAAAAATGGTCATTTATAACACCTACAAATTCTTCCTCCCCTTTACCCTGTCCTGTCACCATTTCCCAATCGATACCAGGATAATTGAAGTCTCCCATAATAATAGTCCCTCCTCCTCTACAAGCTTGCCAAATCCTCTTAAAGAGCATTTCATTGACAGTATTGTCCAAAGCTGGCGGTCGATAGCATACTCCTGTGTTTAAACCTGTCTCGTGTTTGCCAACGAGCCTGACCCAGATATCTTCACAGGGCAAGGAATGTTGAGTTTCAGATATTTCCAAAAAACAGGAAAATGTCCAAAAACAGGAAAATAGCAGTATTTTTGTGAGAAATCATCCCAGATGGCCGACACTTTGCACTGCACCTCTCCCTGTGGTAGAGAATATGTGTGCCAAATTTGAAAAGAATCCAATGCAGGGGCTGCACTAGAAGAAAAATTTTTTTAGCCACCATGGCTAACTCGGCTCAAATTTCTTTAGCCACATTAAAAAAATTTTAGCCACATGCATAGTAAAACTTTGGATTAAAAACACAGACATACCAGTCGAAAGTTTGGTCACACCCACATTTTTCTTACAATACATGTTAAATAAAAAATAAGCAGTCTTTATTTTGCCAAAAAAAATTCTAATTCTTAAATCCATCGAACTAATCACCATTTGTTGTCATACACTGCCCGTCCAAAAATAAGTCACCGTTTGGAAATAAATGAACAAATTCTATGATTGGATCATTATTGCGGTTATTAATATGTTTCAGCAGGCAATAATCATTTTAACCCTGGCTGATGAAGCATGTTGCTACTCATTTTTTAAACAAGACTAGGTGCAACCTAGTATATGGCCTGGCCGCCAAGTGCTGTGTGAAAATGTGGGCCCAAGAAAAGGGTGCTAAATGGGGCAAAGCTCACGCAATTATATGAAGCGCAAGTTTAGTTATGAGCTGGAGCTGATAAATTATTTACAAAGTGGGTGGGGAGAGTGGGAGTGTGAAAATGTGAGAGTGAGTGAGGGAGTGGGAGTGAGTGAGAATGTGTGAGGTAGTGGGAGTGGGGGGGGGTTTGAGTAAGGAAAACATATCAAAAGCAAGTTATACATTTGAATAGACAAAGAGCTAGAGTAAGGGTAGCAGTTATTGATTCTGTGAATGTGAATTTGAGAGAGACAGCGGCAACAAATGTAGATAGTAGATAAAGTATGTATGTGTGTTCCTGAATCGTAATGAAACAATAAAGTTATTGTTACAGTTGTGCTAACCGGGAACATGACGTCACTTTTGTGAACACATGGCAGTTCCTATGTAGTGAGGGTGTAGGAACAAACTTCAAAGATTCCTTTTTTCCCCCATGTTTCGTCTTTGGGCGTGTTATGGACAAAGAATCCACAGTTTCGAGTAAAACCGCTAAATAAACATGTTCGAGTGAAGGAGCTGCCATGTGTTTACATAAAGCATCATTTGATATTGGCGATGAATGAATATGGTTAACTATGTGAAATTGAAATGCAATTAATTTTAATGAATGTATGACCTATTGAAAGCTCTCGAAAAGGCCTTGTAGTTAACAGCAAGATCATGAGAATTTGCCGAGAAATAAGAAAGTTCATTCTATAATTTAATTTCATTTCGTTTGATTTGGCTGAGAAACTGATATGATTTCCACTAGTCCTTCATCAGAGGACTTACGGTCAGCAATTTTCCGCCAGAATTCCTCTCTGGCCTTATTAGCAGCAACAGTGTTGCTTTTTGCTGTTTTTTTATATATTTACATTCTTCATAACTGTCCATAATCACGACCCACTACTCTTAGGAGATTTTCTTTATTTTTTTTTAGATTTTATTAATCACCCTGCAACCACTTATATTACATACAACGAACAAGTGCATCCATCAACCAACATGAATGCACTAAAATAAATCTCAATTATAATTTCCCAAGTGTCCACCTGAGTATGTGCATGCATAATCATACAGTCTTTCAAGTGTCCAACCAATGAGTGTAAAACTTCATTTAGGTCTCCCACACTGTTAGCCAGATATGGTCGAACCGACAATAAAAAATATGGTCGCAGCCAACCATAAAATTTATGGTATAGACGTGACGTACCATATGTTTTATGGTCATTGTGCGACCACAAAAATAATGGTCGGATTGACCATAAAAATAATGGTCGATTTTTTTTTTTTTTTAAAGATCATTTTTTGGGGATTTTTCCTTTATTTGACAGTTATATGGTGTAGAGAGACAGGAAAGTTGGGGAGAAGAATGGGGAAGACATGCAGCAAATGACCCGAGTTGGAATCGAACCCAGGTCGCCGCGAGAAGGACACAGCATTTATGGTGCGCGCACTTTGACCGATGAGCCACCGGGGCACCCTCATTGCCTGTTTTTGATACAAAATATGCTTACAAACAAGTTGCAAATAGTATACTATACTGGACAAAGAAAGTTAGGGATCACCCAACTTTTCAATATTAAAATATGATATGGAAAAAAATACAAACTATCAAATATTTCAAATTCAAAATTTGGGGTGATCCCTAACTTTATTTGTCCAGTATATTATTATGTTTCATGCTCAATGAACTTTGTAGACCACACTGATTGTCATCCTTATTGATTTATTGATTGTCTTCTGTAGTACAGTGAATTGTGGTAGTGGCTAACCACTAAAAGTACCAGCTACTTTTGTTTTCATTATAAAATTGGGACACATTTGGAGAATTGACAAATGTAATTGAATTTATTTTAGAACAGTGGCCTCTGATCTCAATGAGACTCTGGTGCCCAACATTAAGCTTCTCCTTTTGCTCTTATGGAGGGATTGTTTATTTTAATTGTGACCACTGTAAAAAGGTATATCATAGAATAAGCTGTGATTAATTTGACTTAATTATTCAGGCTCATTGTTACACTCTAAGAAAAAAAGGTTCATTCAGCACCTTTTATGGGTGCGCACGTTTGCTACAATAGCAGCACCTTTTTTGAAAGGAGCTCATGAGCACCCTAAGAAGAGGTGGATACATGCACTCTAAAAGGTGCTCATGAACACCCTAAAAAGGGCTGAACATAAGCACCCTAAACTGGCGTTATTGAGCACCCTTGTATGGGGTGAACGCAAGAACCCTGAAAGGTGCAGATGAGGACCCTTATTAGGGGTGACTACGCAAGACTCCGTGAGGGTGACTGCAAGCACCTCCTTAAGGTTCTTATTACCATTTCACAGGGTGCACATCTGTAACTCGTCTAATGGGTGCTTGTCTGCACCTTTAAAGGATTCTCACTTATACCTTTTTCAAAGCACCCAAAAGGGAGAAGGGTCTAGCTGCAGCTGCAGCCAAGTGCAAACCACGCCCTGTACAAAACACGCGCCCTACAACACACGCCCCTACACTAACCCTAACCCTAACCTCAACCCTTTTGTTGGGAGCCTGTTTTGTAAGAGACGTGGTTTGCACTGGACCCACGTGCTGCATAATCTACCCGCGGCTGCATTTGGATATCATTGCCAAATGGCGCTTGTAGTCCCAGAGCTCTGCCATTTACTGTATCATGTGCTTCGTCTGCACATCGTATGATGGGCTGTAATGTTATGATTGGTCGAGCAAGCGTAACAGTGCAGCAGGTAGCCCCCACACGTTGAGAAACTTCTCGCATGCCGCAAAAATATCTAGCATGCAAGATAGGCTGCTACACTGTTACATGAGGAAGTTATGCAGCAAAAACCATCACCACACGGTACAACATTGCCTGATGCATAGATGCCAACTCTACTGCTTTTGGGGCGTTTTTTCAGAATGAAACGCCCCGAAAGCGATAGTCTACCGCCAAAAGCAGTGGAGTTGGTATGTATGCTGATGCAGTATACACGCATGTCACATGCCTCAGTCAAAGTTACACCATCTGGTGCAGGCTTTACTGCGTGGCATTTAAGAGACATCAAAAAGAGCCTTTGCACAGGACTCATATATATATCCCTCTGAGGGAACAACAAACAGGTGTGTAGGCTGATTGATAGATGATAACTGAATAATCATTAAAAGTACGCTCCGGGGTCTCATGGAGCGATGAGCTGGCTGGCAGGAGGCGTGTTTTTACTCATTGTATTTACACTTGTAAGGGGCAAACAAGTGCATGTCAATGACAATCACATTGCTGCCCAGTTTTGCATGCATGAAGACTTTTTTTTGTCATGTGCATTCAACCTCTGTTGGCATCTCCATACGGACACTGAGAACAAATTGATAATACGACATTTGAATTTCATGTAAAGTTAATGCACTTGTTTATAAACCAGATATCAAAGCAGCTGCATAAATGATATGATGAGAAGAAATGGCAAAACAAATCCATTTTAGTCCTTAAACAATCTTCGCATTGCGGGATGTTGGCAGCCACGTAACAAAGTGAACTAGCGTATATAGCTTGATGAACAAAGCCAGCTTGAACGCGACGAACGCCAGTTATTGTCCACGTCGATTGTCCTCGCTTGTACAATTGTCGCGCTGCCATTGGTTGCTGTATTTTTCGAGGAGTAGTCTAATCGAAAAGTTGTTAATTGTATCAGTTGTAATTTTTGTGTCCCAGTTTATTTTATGAGAATAAATAAGTTTAAAAATGCGGCAGCGTGGCATTCTACTAATTTTGTACAATAAAAAAAAATAGGAGTTCAAGAAGTTCAACACAAAAAAGGTCCGAAGTGTTAATTAGGCTAATGATCGTTAGTGCAGTTGCGTGAGATACTATTCAAGGGTGCGGATGGGCACCCTATAGGTTTCAGCTCCATCTACAGGTTCTGAAGGGAACCATTCCTAAGTGCGAACCTTTTCGGTGCCAACGCGCACCCTTCACGAACCTTTTTTTCTTAGCGTGTAGAGTCTGTTAGAGTTCATACTTAGCTCAGGAAAAGTCAACATCTTGTTGTTTAATTATTGTTTTGAAATGTTAAACAATTGAGACCGCACTCCCTTACCACCATTAAATGTTTTACCACCATTTTCATGGTCGCATTCCAAGTAACCATAATTTTTATGGTCACCCATGGTTGATCAGAAATTTTCGACCAGCTTTTTTTATGGTCGCTTTTAAGGTAACCATAATTTTTATGGTCGGACAGGGTCGACCACAAATTTGTGACCATCTTTTTTGTGGTCACGTTTATTGTAACCATATTTTTTATGGTCGGACAGGGTCGACCACAAATTTGTGACCATCTTTTTTATGGTCACGTTTAATGTAACCATATTTTTTATGGTCAGGCCGACCATATGTGTTGAACAGTGCATTAAGCTGCTGGCGGCACCCCCTGGTGGCGGGGGGAGATAACCCGCAGTGTTACTGATCCTGGATCAGGGATAGCTTCCTCGGAGAAACATACAGAACGCGATCGGTCATTTTATGAACGGAAATAGGGTCAATTGCTGCATGAAACGCTCTTTTGTTGAGAGCGCGTACAGTGTTGAAAGCACTAAACCGACATTAACAACAAAAGACTACGAGCACCGTTGTGGTACCAATTATCTCTGATTGTGAGTTCAGGGTTTGTTGAGCCGGTTCAGTGAGATATGGTCTGTCTATATGTGTCACCCATTAAGCTGCTGTCGGCGCCCCCCCCTGGTGCCGCGAGAGGAGACAACCCACAGTGTCACTGATCCTGGATCAGGGATAATGTCCTCAGGGAACGTACAGCACGTGATCGGTCAATTTGTGAACAGAAATAGGATCAATTGACGCATGAAACACTTTTTTGTTGAAAGCGCGTACAGTGTTGAAAGCACAAAAAGGAGATTAACAAAGAAATATTACAACCACCGTTGTGGTAGCAATTATCTCTGATTGCGAGTTCAGGGTTTGTTGAGCCGACTCACTCAAATAGCCTATAGCCTGTCTATGTTGAACTTGCTTCGTAGTATACCCCTCAGGAGATACGAGCGACAAACGCCCGTCCAGCCAGCCAACTAATCGTCGGCCAACCAATCGCTGACGTTCTTGCCCGCCGGCCGACTAATCGCTGAAGTCGGTTGTCGGCCAACCAATTGCTGAAGTTCTTCCCCGCCGGCCGACCAGTCACTGAACTTCTTCCACGCTGGCCAACCAATCGTTGAACTTGATCACTCAGGCAGTCAGTCACTCACTCACTCACTCAGCGACATTCGCGTTTATAGGGGCCGGGCGGCTATTCGCGGCCCAGCCCAAAAATCACGTTGGAAGACGCATCCCTTGATGGTTGAAAAGATTTTTCAGTATTTCAGAAGGGGCAAGTTATTGGCCTGTATTTGGCAAAGAAAACAATGAATGAGAAAAACAAGTATGAGGAATCATTTTCACAGACACGTTTGCCACCACAAAGTCCTGACCTTCACCACATTGAAAGTTATTGGGATGTGCTCAAGTAAGACCACCGAGTGGTTCAACCAATTTGTCAAGAAGACAAGATCTAGTGCCAAAAATTATGGCATTTTGATCGAAAATAAATGTTGTCAAAACAATCACAAGATGAATTTGCGCTGTAATCAAAGCTACAGGGGTTCCAACTAAATATTTGAGTGTGCGACTTTTTTCTTTTTTGGACAGGCAGTGTACTTGCAGAGCACTCTCACTTTTTTTTTTTTTTTTAACAAGGGCAGTCATATAGTGAATTTGTAGCTGCACGACTGTCTAACTTCCTAAAGACGTGCTGCACTTGAGGTGTGCTTTTCATCAACCTTTTTGCCCAAAAGTCAAAACTGCTTGACTTTAATTTCGGCTGTTGGAAAATAGAAGGAGCTTATTTGTCAGCAAAATATGGCTTCTTTGAGAATTCCAAAATTTTTGACACTATTTAAACAAGTGAATTACTCTCTTTTCACTTCTTACTGTTAACCTTTGACAGGATTCCATTTGTGAGTATGTACAGTAGAGAAGTTAAGCTGTTTAAATGACTGTAAAAACAGTGCTGTGACATTAGCAAAGTGTGTCCAAACTTTTGACTGATGCTGTAAGTTGAGGAGGGACAATTTTGGTTTAGGGGAATAAACTATAAAAGATTTGGCACTGACACCATTTAACTTACATTGCTGCATTGCAGTTTGATTGCACTTCTGAATTTCTGCTTTTTGATATTTTCCTGCGCCATCCAATGCACTGTCCGCATCTGTTCAGTGACTGCGTCCTTCACGTTGTTGTGTGCTTTTTTTTTTTTTTTTTGGTGGCCTGTTCAAAAAAAAAAAAAAAAAAAAAAAAAAAAAAAAAAAAAAAAAAAAAAGGGGGGTGTTTCTTGCTTTGGCCACAATTCTGAAAATGAGAATGAAGCCAACGAAATATGACCGTTTACAATTTGCGAGATTTTTAACTCGGACGGGACATTTGCTGAAATGCATGTTCTTGTCAGGAC